ATGAGGAGAGCAGAATGAAAAATAAAAAGAGAGAAAGATGAAAGGATAAAGGGAGAGAGAGAGAGAGGAGAGGAAAGAGGGGTGAAGAATAGAGGGAGAGAGCGTGAGAGGATAGAGAAGAAGAGAACGAGAGGGAGAAGGCAGAGAGGGATGAAGGATAGACAGGAAGAGAGAGAGACAGAGGAAAAGAGATTAGAAAAAAGAGGAAGAATAGATAGATAAAGAGGATGAGAGCAGGATGAAAAATAAAAAGAGAGATGAAAGGATAAAGGGAGAGAGAGAAAGAGAGAGAGAAGAGAGGGATAAAGCATAGAGGGAGAGAGAAGGAGATGAAACAGAAAGATGAAGAATACAGGGGGAGGACAGAGGAGAGATGGATGAAAGATAGATAGAGGAGAAAGAAAGAGAGAGAGAGAGAGAGAGAGAGAGAGAGAGAGAGAGAGACAGCCGATTCATTAGTAGAGTATGTGCTCGGGACACTCCTCCGTTTGTCCAAAGTGTCCTCTCCGCAAAACGCTGAGTCAGCTCAAACTTTAGCTCGATGTGTCCCCGAACCTCGTCGTTTATCACCGAAAAAAAGAGACAAAAATAAGACATTGTCAGACCACAGAAACGACAAAAGGTCAGGTGATTTGTGCTGTTGAACAAGTCCCTCTCATATAACATTACAGTCACAAGCCAGCTGCTGACGCTAACTGTAGGCACGGCTCTGTCTGGTGGTTTGTTAAGGCTGCCACCAGCGTTGGGTGTAATGTGTTATAAAAGTAACGAATTACTGTGATGCGTTGCTTTTTGCTGTAACGCAGTAATGTTACGGCATTACAGGGGAAAAATGTTAATATTTTACTCGATACAAATGCAGACACCCTGTCTGCAAAGCGCTTCCAAGTTCTAGTCCAAGATTAGTCCTGGTTTAGACCTAATTTAGTCCTGGTTTAGTCCTGGTTTAGACCTAGTTTAGTCCTGGTTCACTTCTGGTTTAGTCCTGGTTCAGTTCTGTTTTAGTCCTGGTTCAGTTCTGTTTTAGTCCTTGGTTTAGTCCTGGTTTAGTCCTGGTTCAGTTCTGTTTTAGTCCTGGTTCAGTTCTGTTTTAGTCCTTGGTTTAGTCCTGGTTTAGTCCTGGTTCAGTTCTGTTTTAGTCCTGGTTCAGTTCTGTTTTAGTCCTGGTTCAGTTCTGTTTTAGTCCTTGGTTTAGTCCTGGTTTAGTCCTGGTTCAGTTTGGGTTCAGTCCTTGGTTCAGTCCTGGTTTAGTCCTGGTTCAGTCAATATACGGCGCAAAAGTTCAGCATCTTCGCAGTTATTTTGGTGAGAGTAATTTAAAAGTGCTGCACATATTGTTCTGAGAAGAAAAACGCTTTTCTATTTTAATGTCTCCAGCCAACTTGCCGGAATACTTTTGTCAGCACCGAAACCGGCCAGTATCTCAGCTCACCGGACGCTGTCAGGGGTAAGTCAGTGTGGATGCACAACACTGCTCACGGGGATGCCATACAGTCAAAAAACCCAAACTATTCCTTTAAAAAAGTGTCTCCACTCACTAGGAAATTATGTCCTATGTCCAAAATTCCAGACTTTAAAGCATAAAAGATTGATAAAGTCCACTGGAAGTAGAGTCACTATCACTAATCTGCAACTTCACCTCGCGTGCGCTGTGTGGATGTAAACAGACACACGTGAGGAACTACGCTGGCCTTTTTACTTTTAAAGAACGCCTCAAACTGGATTAACAGCGCTGTTTTGTGGACTGGATGTCATTATTTCTATGGATAATGTAGATGAGATGCTGGACTTTAAATTTACCACTTCATGAGAGGTGAGGAATAGGTGGGTTTCACGTGACGTCACAGGGCGACGTTTGTCAGATCAGATGGAGAGCAGGAAGTGAACTGACTGGAGGAAAATGCCGATGTGTTGTGTAGTTTACGGCTGTGCCAATTGTTCTAACCGAGAGAAGGAAAAGCGATTTTTTTTTAGAGTACCAAATATAGTGGTCCACAAAGGTCAGACATGGGAAAAGCCGACAGAACAACGCCGTAAAAAGTGGATTACAAACCTGTTTGCGGTCTGGAGGAGCAGAATTCACTAATGCTCGTGTCTGCAGTGACCACTTCAACAAAGGTTTGTTACAAAGCTAAAAAATTTTTTGTGGTTTACCTAAACATGAATGAATCATGAACGACTAACGGCGAACGACGTTTGTTGACATTAAATAGTTCAGATAGAGGTCACTGCTGATACACTGCAGTTTTTCCCATTACAGTCTATACACATAAAATAAGAGAAACATTCACCCCGGCGAAGACCAAACCATAATCATCATTTAGGTGTTTTGCACCAAGGTTGAGGATCCATCCACTGACAAAAAAAAGTTCTATGCCTCCAAACTTTTGTACACCTTCATCTGTTGTCTGGTGTAGAACGATGTCTGAAGAGCTAAATAGTTCGTGATCTCCTCTGCCTCGATTGTCGGCAAATCTTTTACTTTGGTTGAAAATTCTCTCATTTTCAATAAGATCAGGGTCAAGCCCAATATATTTGTCGACTAACTGCTCGTACTTTTGCCTTGCTACTGGCTCTAAATCCTTACAATAAGAACTCTTCTCCATATCTGTGTTCTCCAGAGCCGTGTTTGTCGTGTTTATCTTCACTTCCTGCCCTCCACCTGAAATTCGCGCATCATCGTGATCACGTGACTGAAAGCCTCCTATTAAAGTCTTCTCATTATTTTTGCTATATCCTGAGTTTGTATCTTGCGCTTCTGTTCCAATCACTCCTCTGCCCCTGACGTTCTGTTTTATTGGCTGTTATTGTAGCGTTGCTGATGTTTAGTGGTTATGATCTGACAGAGCAGCTCAGAGTCACACTGACACCACACACACGAGAAGTGCAGTGGCTTCAAAACCGCACACGAAGACACAAAGTCGGGTCACGCCTCCCCATACTCGAGGAGAAGCAAATCACAGCCAAAATCGGGCAAGTTTTCCTGTGGCGTCATTTAGGCTTTAATCTGAGTGTTGTTTTATCACAATCTGACCAGATAGAACTGACATAAACCCTATTCTCACAGGACTAGTATAACCTGTGGACCTTTGATGAATTGTAATAATTGCGGAGGATTCCTGAGATCTTAATCCCGTGCGAATGTGGCATGTCTGTAATTTGTAAAGTAAAAATTACGCCGCAAATGTCCTACTATATTTGGCCAAACACAGACGTCCGGTGATAATACTAGTCCTGTGTGAATCTGCATCTCAGTGTTTGCTGTGGTAATTGCGCCTTTTCTGTCTCTTTCTGGCTTGAATATGGAGGCTGAGGTAGAAATTTTGATTAGCACTTTTGACAGCTTTTTAGGGGCAAATTCTAACACGGCCCAGTATCGTACTGTATGTAATCCGATCTGCAGAAACGGGAAGAGGTCCAAGAAGAGAGACAATTCTCACAGGATGATGGCCTGGATGACATGTGGAGCAGAAGGTGGTAAAGAACATTTAAAATAATATGACTATCCTCCATATCGGGGAGTGGGGGAGATCTAGTGCCCGCTAGATCCACACTGAGAACTGGGGGAGGGGAGTGATCCGCGCAACTCGGCCCGCTACATCGACACTGGTTTTGTCCTGGTTAAGTCCTGGTTTAGTCTCGATTCAGTTCTATACCAGTTCTGGATTAGTCCCGGTCCAGTCCTGTATCAGTCCTGGTCTAGTCCTGATCCAGTCCTGATCTAGTCCTTGTTTAGACTTGGTTTAGGCCTGGTTCAGTCCTGGTCTAGTCCTGATCCAGTCCTGATCTAGTCCTTGTTTAGACCTGGTTCAGTCCTGGTTCAGTCTTGGTCTAGTCCTGGTCCAGTCCTGATTTAGTCCTTGTTTAGACCTGGTTTAGTCCTGGTGTAGTCCTGGTTCGGTCCAGGTCTAGTCCTGATCCAGTCCTGATTCAGTTCTTATTTAGACCTGGTTCAGTCCTGGTTCAGTCCTGGTTCAGTCCTGGTCTAGTCCTGGTCCAGTCCTGATCTAGTCCTTGTTTAGACCTGGTTTAGTCCTGGTCCAGTCCTGATCCAGTCCTGCTCTCGACCTGGTTTAGTCCTGGTCTAGTCCTGATCCAGTCCTGGTCTAGACCTGGTTTAGTCCTGGTTCCGTCCTGGTCTAGTACTGGTCTAGTACTGGTCCAGTCCTGATCCAGTCCTGGTTTAGTCCTGGTCCAGTCCTGGTTTAGTCCTGGTTCCGTCCTTGATTAGACCTGGTTTAGTCCTGGTCCAGTCCTGATCCAGTCCTGCTCTCGACCTGGTTTAGTCCTAGTCTAGTCCTGATCCAGTCCTGGTCTAGACCTGGTTTAGTCCTGGTTCCGTCCTGGTCTAGTACTGGTCTAGTACTGGTCCAGTCCTGATCCAGTCCTGGTCCAGTCCTGGTTTAGTCCTGGTTCCGTCCTGGTCTAGTATTGGTCTAGTACTGGTCTAGTCCTGGTCCAGTCCTGATCCAGTCCTGGTCTAGACCTGGTTTAGTCCTGGTTCAGTCCTGGTCTAGTACTGGTCCGGTCGCCTTTATACTAACTGCCCTTCCTATTTCTATAGCTGATGTATCAGTATATATATCAGTCAAACAGAGTAATTTATAGACGTTGCTTATCCCATGCGAATGCGCTGCAAGTAACACAGACGTGGGGCAGTAATTTACAAATTAACACACGTCCCCAGGTTGTACTTATCCTGTGCGAATAGGGCTTTAGTTGGAACTACAACAAGTGAGATGATTTTTTCAATTTTTCAGTTAGTCACTCTCAAGTTTTTTGTTGAAAATCATACTCCAAAACAGGACCATCAACATCACCGGCTCTTGAAAATGTGCTGTTTAAATCCATTTGTATTTTTTCTTAAGTTTTCAGACTATCTTAAAACTGTGTGCATTGTGTCACAATGGAAACTGGCCAAAACATTCCACCATAGAGACACATGTAGAACACCTCCAGCATATTGTCACTGCGAAGTACCACTCGTTTCTTATACAAACCATTTTCTGAAGCGGGCGCAGATGTGGTGTAGCTCAACAAAGAAATGGTGCTGAGTGACGTCACGGTGGTCAGCCAATCAGGAGGTGGCTCTGTGGGAGGGGGCGTGGTCTCCGGACGGTCTGCTCCAATCACAGCAGCTGAAGTGGCGGCGCTCGTTGTAGAGTGGGTGGTGAGGGTGTGGTTAGTGGCGAAGGGGGTGGGGCTTGTTGTTGTGATGTCATCTTCGGTTAAAGGATTCGGCGACGGCAGAGGACTGGAGGCCAACAGACCACTGCCCAGCATCCCTGAAACACAGAAAAACCAAGACTAAACCAGGACTAAACCAGAACTAAACCAGATCTAAAACAGGTCTAAACCAGGGCTAAACCAGGACTAAACCAGAACTAAACCAGATCTAAAACAGGTCTAAACCAGAACTAAACCAGGACTGAAACAGGACTAAACCAGAACTAAACCAGGTCTAAAACAGGTCTAAACCAGAACTAAACCAGGACTGAAACAGGACTAAACCAGAACTAAACCAGGTCTAAACCAGGTCTAAACCTGGACTAAACCAGAACTAAACCATGTCTAAACCAGGACTAAACAAGGACTAAACCAGATCTAAAACAGGTCTAAACCAGAACTAAACCAGGACTGAAACAGGACTAAACCAGGACTAAACCAGGACTAAACAGGACTAAACCATGACTACAATCAGGACTAAAATATGACTAAAATCAGGACTAAAATATGACTAAAATCAGGACTAAACCAGAACTAAACCAGGTCTAAACCAGGTCTAAACCTGGACTAAACCAGAACTAAACCATGTCTAAACCAGGACTAAACAAGGACTAAACCAGATCTAAAACAGGTCTAAACCAGAACTAAACCAGGACTGAAACAGGACTAAACCAGGACTAAACAAGGACTAAACAGGACTAAACCATGACTACAATCAGGACTAAAATATGACTAAAATCAGGACTAAAATATGACTAAAATCAGGACTAGACCAGGACTAAACCAGGGCTAAAACATGACTAAAACCAGGATGAAAACAGCACTGAACCAGGACTGAACCAGGTCTGAACCAACACTAAACCAGGCCTAAACCAGAATTAAAACTGACAAAACCAGGACTAAACCAGGACTGAACAAGGACTGAACCAGCACTTAACCATGTCTAAACCAGGACTACACCAGGACTAAACAAGGACTAAACAGGACTAAACCAGTAAACTAAACCAGGTCTAAACCCGGTCTACAGCGGGTCTCACCTGTCAGGGCCAGAGCCAGCAGCAGCACAGCGGTCAGCAGACTCAGAGCGGGGACCAGGATGTAGAGCAGGCGCCGCAGCTGATTGGCCGAGCCCAGTTTGTGTGGACACGCCCCCTCACGGCCCATGCCCCGCCCACTTCCGCCACGCGACTGGGAAACAAGATGAAGGATGAAAAATATTAGACTTCAGCTCACAAATGTATTAGCTAAATAATGTCAATGGAAGCACTATACATTTAAGCCTCATCAAGACGACTCCCTGCGCCCTCTGCTGGTACCACTTTTTTATACAGTTTTTATATCAGTCTGGTCTTCCTGGACTTTGTTGTGTCTCAAACCAGAACAAAACGTGATCGTCCAATCAGATTTGTTTATTTCAGTGATTCATGTGAAACGAAGGAGCTCATTGGTCACATATCATTTACAAACAAAATCACATTTCCTTCACCTAAGATGAACAGAGTTACGCCGGGTGTACTCGGTGCAAAAGAGAACCGATTAATACCTCGCGACCAGCTCCCGATCTGTCGCAAAAATATCAAACCTTTTTGAAATCCAGTTGCCTCTCGTGAGGGTTTCGCTCTGTTGAAGTCGTTCCATGAGTCGATTTGCCAGAATCTGTCAGACTGAGCATGTGAGAACACAGAAGCGGAAGCAGGATATGAGGTTGTGGAGGACGATGGCGCCGGCGAGTGTTTTGGACACAGGACATGGAGGCGCAGCTAATTGAGCAACACAGAACACAAGTTTGGTGAAAAACTTGATGCTACTTACATCCAGTTCCTTCTGAAGAACTGACAACCCGTACTGCCCATGTCTGCCCACGTCTGCCCACGTCTACCCACGTCTGCCCACGTCTGCCCACGTCTACCCAGTCATTTCTTTGACCAGATTCGTTGCCTCTTCTTTTTGGGTTTGTCTGTGCAGAGAATGGCACAAATTGCCAAAGCAGTGCGTCTGTTTTTTGCCTGGATCAGCATTGTGTCTCCGCACGTCTGTGGTTTTCTTCTTTGTGGTTTTCTACTTCTGGAACAACAACTCCGGTCGTTATGTGAACGTACAGTGTGCGCAGGCAGGTTGCAACCGAGCATCGGTTCGTACAGTGTGAGAACATGATTTGTGAACTGTGAACTTTTAAACCCTGCGATTTGGTCGTACAGTTTAAACTGGGGCTGAGTGACACGATCGAAAATATCACACAGTGTACGCCCGGCATTAGGTGATTTACTCATTGAGTCTTCAGAAATCTGTCATGTTTTCAGTCCCCTGATGTATATATATATACATTTTTAATTTACTTTTTCTGATAGATGGACCATGCTTGTCCCTGATTGGCTAATCCATCTGTCAACCACGGTCATCTGAAAACAGGGAGCTTCACAGGAGATCAGACTCACCTCTCGATGAAGTACAGGAGAAGTGTGTATTCCGGTCCCCAAGCAGATAATATTATGCTAATGTATTGCACATGATGTTCTTTGATAAATCATAGTTTTGAAAAGATTAATTATGTATCTTTAATTAAGATTAAGGTGCATTTTGGCAAGCAATAACAATAATGGCTCAACCCATTTTTTTCTGTTTGAGCAAAATGTGTCTCGCCCCAGTACAGCTCTTGAGGTCAAAAGAAGTCCTCTGTGTGCTGTCTGCAATTAATTACAAAGCCTTTTATTGCCAAGGGAGTCAGGAAATGCGCTGTTAGCATGCAAGTTGATGCAAAACTCCAAACGTATTCTATGAAAGTTGTGAAAAGCGCTCATAAACTCATCGTGGTGAATAATTCGGATGTTCTTTCACGTTTTTAAGACAGTAACAGTCAGGTAGCCTACAGTGATTCTCTTTAAACAGTTTACAGTCTTTATTTAACCTGCTGCTGACCCCGTGTGGCCAGAGGAAGTATTTAATTTGATTTTAGATTTAATAATAGTTGTTTTGAAAGGGGGAGTGAGGGAGCGCGCATGGGACAGAGGAGGCCGAGGAGGGGTCTTGTTGTCGTCTGGAGTTTTTCCGTGAGATATTTTGGTCATGAGTGAAACCTGACGCTGCAGCTTTAAATAAACTCTATAAGTCAGACGGAAGATGCATGTGCACTGATAACTCATAAAATATACTGCTACTATTATTACTACTACTGATATTACTACTACTGCTACTACAGCTACTACCAACCAGTGGACTAAAACAGGACTAAACCAGGTCTCACAAACCTGGGGAGCAAAACAGGATTAACCAGGGACTAAAACAGGACTAAACCAGGACTGAACAAGGACTGAACCAGGACTAAACCAGGTCTAAACCAGGACTAAACCCAAACTAAACCAGGACTGAACAAGGACCGAACAAGGACTGAACCAAGACTAAATGGCCCCTATGCCCAGGGACTAATACAGGACTAAACCAGGTTTCACTAGGGATCAGAACAGGACTAAACCAGGGAACCATTACAGGACTAAACCAGGTTTATGCCCAGGGACTAAAACAGGACTAAACCAGGTCTGTACCCAGGGAGTAAAACAGGACTAAACCAGGTCTGTACCCAGGGACTAAACAGGACTAAACCAGGTTTGTACCCAGGGACTAAAACAGGACTAAACCAGGTCTGTAACCAGGGACTAAAACAGGACTAAACCAGGTCTGTACCCAGGGACTAAAACAGGACTAAACCAGGTCTGTAACCAGGGACTAAAACAGGACTAAACCAGGTCTGTACCCAGGGACTAAAACAGGACTAAACCAGGTCTGTACCCAGGGACTAAAACAGGTCTGTACCCAGGGACTAAAACAGGACTAAACCAGGTCTGTAACCAGGGACTAAAACAGGACTAAACCAGGTCTGTACCCAGGGACTAAAACAGGACTAAACCAGGTCTGTACCCATGGACTAAAACAGGACTAAACCAGGTTTGTACCCAGGGAATAAAACAGGACTAAACCAGGTCTGTACCCAGGGATTAAAATAGGACTAAACCAGGTCTGTACCCAGGGAATAAAACAGGACTAAACCAGGTCTATGCCCAGGGACTAAAACAGGACTAAACCAGGTTTAACTATGGATCAAAACAGGACTAAATCAGTCTTAACTAGGGACTAAAACAGGACTAAACCAGGTCTATACCCAGGGACAAAAACAGGGTCTATACCGAGGGACTGAAATAGGTCTATGCCCAGGGACTAAAACAGGATTAACCAGGGACTAAACCAGGTCTATACCCAGGGACTAAACCAGGTCTATACCCAGGGACTAAACCAGGTCTATACCCAGGGACTAAACCAGGTCTATACTAAACCAGGTCTATACCCAGGGACTAAACCAGGTCTATACTCAGGGACTAAAACAAGTCTATACTCAGGGACTAAAACAAGTCTATACTCAGGGACTAAACAGGACTAAACCAGTCCTGCCGGGGACTACACTACAGATGGAAAGTAGTCATCGGGATAATTCTGTCATGTTTCTATTCTATGCTCATTAATATGCACTGTCCCTTTAAATAAATCAGTCTAAAATCTAAATATACTACTACTACTACAAACACTAATGCTGCTATACTACACTGCAAGTATAGTTCACTGTTTCTTATATTTCTATTAAAGGTGCACTACATAATTGACATAACATAGCAGGCACTAGTGTGTTTTTAAAGACTGCTTGTGTGTGCCCTATGGTGAGCACATTACCACGATTTAAGCGTCATTGCATTTGTTTCCAGTTCATTTTAGAGTTTTAAGATTTTATTGATTGTTTTTAAAGCTTTGAATAGACTGGCCCCTCAGTACGTCTCAGATCTCAGCCAAACTTACACCCCGACACACGCTCTGAGGTCTGAGGTCCAGCTCCAGCTCATGGGGCCTAAGAGGAGACTTAAAACCGGGGGGACAGGACCTTCTCTGTGACCGGCCCCAAGCTCTGGAAAGTTCTGCCCCCCCATGTCCCAACAGCTCCCACAGTCGAGAGTTTTAAGTCTCGTCTTAAAACTCACTTTTATTCTCTGGCTTTTAACACCATGTGAGCTGTGTGGTCCTCTGTGTCTTTTATTTATCTGACTTATTTATTGCCATTGTATGATTTTTATGGTTTTGCTTTTATTTGATTTGACTGGTTTTAATGTTTTAGGACGGGTATGGCTGAAGTTTAGCAATTTACCTTTTTGTTGTCTTCATTTTATGATCTTTGTGCAGCGCTTTGGAAACTGCTTTGTTTGTAAAATGTGCTGTAGAAATAAAAGTGGGTTTGGATTAGGGATGGGCATTCGATGAAATTTTCTTAATCGATCGTCGGAAGAATTAACGATCGATTATCGATTAATCATTAACGTTTTGATATTAAAATGATCATCATTATTATTACTATCTGCACTATTAATCTGCATAAATAAACTTTACGACAAATAAACCGTAACCACTCTAGAGCCACAGCAGTCCGTTTGACATTATAATGTGTTTAATTCAGTTTTGTGCAACTCTCCCAGAAACAAAACTTAAAACCGCATCGCTAATTTGCATAAACTCAGCGAAGATAAAACTCCAGCTCTTGTGCGCTGATGCGGTTTAACTTCTGTTGGATTAAAAGACATGACTCAGTGGAATACAGGTTAGTGTGACCATATTTGTGTTTGTCAAAACCAGGACACCGTACGGGGGGAGGGAGGTGGGGACTCGTCATCGACATTGCGCGACTCTCACCTGGTAAAACTTTTTCCCACTGGACACCGAAACATATGTGCTGCTTTGTACACTGTGCACATGGACTCACACTTGTCCCGAACGCAACGGAAAGCGTGGAATTTCTTGTACAAGTGATCGTTAAATACACATTTGTGCTTCGGTACGTTGTGTCTCGCTCCTTCTGAGTGGAGAGAGACACATGTACAGACCCCTGTTTGGTCACGCTACACACAGCAACCTACATTCGGTTTGTCGATTAAAATTAACGTAATCGATGAAATTCTTAATAATCAATTATCGATTAATCGACTAATCATGCCAATCCCTAGTTTGGATAGTTATGAATCTATGACACCTGTGGATCATTATGTCAGAATTTGCACTTTTTAAATCACACTACTGATCTAAAATAAGTTAACAAAAGAAACAAGTGCGCTGATTTCCGCTTTACAAAACTGTGGTGCGCAGTGGAAGCTGACGTCATC